CTGTCCAACATTTTGTTCGAAGTTGTGTGGAACATCAACAACGGCATTGGCTCCTTATTTTCTCATCGAGAGACATGTGCTCTTACCTTTTACTTCTTGCTGATGCTGAATGGCCTCAAGTGATGTGGTTTCTTTTGATAAAGCTTGGAGGCTATGTTTTGTTTTAGATGGCGTCTGTCTGCGCAACATTTTGTTCTAGATGAGGTCTTCCTGTGCAACATTTTCTTCAGGATGAAATTTTCCTGCCTAACATTTTCTTCCACATGGAATTTTTCTGCGCATCATTTTGTTCCATATAGCGTCTTCCTGCGCAAGATTATCTTCCAGATGGAGTCTTCTTGCGCAACATTCTGTTCCAGATGGTGTCTTCCTGCGCAACTTCCCGCTGTTGTCGAATGACCTTAATTGTATATAGGGTCTTCCTGCGCAACATTTTCTTCCAGATGGCGTCTTCTTGCGCAAAATTTTCTTCTAGATGGAGTCATCGTGCACAACATTTATTTCCAGATATAGTTTTCTTCTGCAACGTTTTCTTCGAGATGGCGTCTTCCTGCGCAACATTTTGTGCGACATAGAGTTTTCTTACTTTACCATTTCTTCCAGATGCAGCCGAGTACGCAACATTTTGTTCCCTGCGCAACATTTTTTTCTAGATGGCGTTTTCTTGCTCTTTCTTTTCTTCTAGATGGAGTTAAATTCGCAACATTTTGTTCACTGCGCAACATTTTCTTCCCTGCGCAACATTTTGTTCGCAGTACAACATTTTGTTCCCAGCACAACATTTTGTTCCCTCCGCAACATTTTGTTCCCTGCTCAACATTTTGTTCCCTGCACAACATTTTGTTTCCTGCGCAACATTTTGTTCCATGCGCAACATTTTGTTCTAGATGGAGTCTTCCAACGCAGCATTTTCTTCGAGATGGCGTCTCCCTGTGCAACATTTTACTCGAAGTTCTGTGGAACGTCAACAACGGCATTGGCTCCTTATTTTCTCATCGAGATACATGTGCTCTCCTTTTTCTCGCTGTTGCCGAATGACCTCAAGTGATGTGGTTTCTTTTGTTACAGTATTTTGTTTGTTCTATAGAGCCAGTCCACAATGTTCGAAACAGAATGCTTCTTGCCAAGGACAATAATCCTTCATTCGCTCGGAGATATTTCCTTATTTCATTGATCTGATAGTGTAGAGATTTCTGAACGAGTTTAACACTTTGCATGACATCCATATAAGAGCCTTCATCCGACGAAGCTATTTAACACAGTGTTACTCACCTTGGATTTCCCAAAATGGATACTTCCATGGACTCCTACGAAAAGGGAGCTACAGCTGCGGCACACCACGTGCTACACACCCTCAATGAGTTTTGGAAAGTGGCGTGGACAGCAAAAACAAGTTGCCAAATAGAAATTACGATTATGTTTTGGGTTATCAAAACAGCCTATGTAACTAACGCTGGATTAGGAACATGACGCGAGCTCTAATTAATATTTTGATACTGCAGCAATTTGCGTCTTTGAGAGAAATTATCCCTTGTACTGACTATCCGGTGTTTAAATTCCTTATCTCCTCGGCTCAATTTATTATAACTGATCAATAAAACAGGCTACTGGAACTGTTTACTATATGGTAATTCCGCTTGTAAAATTTGATTTTATGGGTTCAGTGGATGTGACAGCAAAGCTTTTACGCAGAAAAAGTGACATCCGAAGGGCGAATGCAACAAAGCGTTTGCATTTAAGCAAAAGAAAACTTGATATTTCTAGTTTTTCTTGTCCTCGGAAAATGTATTTGTTATTTGTTTTATCGGTTATTTTTTTTCAGTTTCTTGAAACTTCAAAATGACCTTTTTTAGTTTCTCGAAACTACGTTTATTTAGTTTTTTGAAACTTCAAAATTACTTTTTTTTTTCAGTTTCTTGAGACTTCAAAATGGCTTTCCTTTTCAAAGATGGCGTTTGAATCCATTAGATTTGCTTGTATAGGGACATGTAAAGAGTAAAGTTTCTTTAACTAAATTGGGATATTTAGAATAATTTTAAGCGAGGATAATAGATGTGGTTTGAGGTATTACCAAAAATAAGCTGAAAATGTTTTCCGAGAACAACAATATCGTATTACACTTTATATGTTTAATGATGGCGGTCATGTTGAAAATCCCAATAAAAGACCTTCATGAATTTAATTACTTCTTTCTTATCCTATATATATATATATATATTTTATATATATATATGAAGAAATATAGTTTTAACTGTGCTATATTTATGAGATAATGTTCTCAATATCAGAGATAGCGCGTATGTATATATAAATATAAAGTGAACATTGAAGTCAACACTCAGAGGCGACAGGCTGTTTCATGCTAGACGCAATCGTCAGTAAGCGGCCTTACGATTCACTTTCACTTTAATGTTCACTTTTATATATATATATATATATATATATATATATATATATATATATATATATATATATATATGTAGAGAGAGAGAGAGAGAGAGAGATAGAGAGAGAGAGAGAGGAATGATTCAGTGAGTGATTTAGACAAGTTTTTCTAATTATTTTCAATTGGTTCCTTTCATATCATATTCACGGACAAGAATGTTGGTGTCATTATTGAAGGAAGAGATAAAATTACTGTGTTGATAATACTTATTTCCTGCATAGTACAAAATGTCATCATCAGGATATTGTTTATTGTTTAGAATCAGTCGTTCACCTCTGAACTGACTGTTCAGTTCAACTCTCTTCCTACGGGCGGGAGGAACCCGAAGGAGGCTACGCCGAAGGGCGGAGTCTCCTTCGGGGAGGTTAAACCGGCCCAGAACCCGTTTATGCGGGTTCAAATGGGCTATTTTTTGGCCGAGCCTAATGGCTCGGGAATGCCCACGTTAAAAAGGCCTTGTGCCACATGACACCCTCGTGGGGGGGTGACTGAATATCATCAGGATATTGTTTATTTCGAGACAAATGTAGAGTTCATCATTTTCAAAGAACAAAATTGCTGTATTCATCAGAATATTAATTTTTTACATGTGAAATACGGTGTTCGGTTTGACTAACGCTTAACGGGAGGTGACTGAGTGTTGTCGATTTTTTTTTTTTGAGAAATAAGTATTAAAACTATTAGGGGATAAGTATGCTGTTGTAAATGTTTAGAAATGTATGACGCAACATAAATATGAAAAATCAGCAGCCGGGAAAACGTGGTCGTAGTGTGGCTAACATAAATATTATTTTTTTCTGTGGTGCTAAAATTTGTTTATATATATATATATATATATATGTATA